CACAGTTTTTTTAAAAAGAGCACTGAAATCTTTTTTTATTAAATCTTATTTTGGAAATTTTGTAGAAAACTATTCTGTAAACTGACGAGACGAGAGTAGAAGGAAGGTTATCAGTGGAATTAAACTAACATAGTACTTCAGAAATAGATGGTACCTACAGTGAAACACAGTGGTGGTGTGATGATCTGCAGCTTCTTTTCTGCTTCACCTGAAAGACTTGTTATCAATGGAATCATGAATTATGCTTCCTCCTGAAAAATCTTGAAGCACAATTCAGTTCAATTCACTCTCACCACTTTAAACCTCTTCTCATTGTTTAGTATATTTTTCATTCTGATCTAGTAGTGATTAGTGATAGTGATTTCATAGTGATTTTGTCACTAAGTAATTTGTTAGTGGACTGGTTTGGGATGGAAAGGGTCTAAAAGGGATTATTGTCCTTGACAAGACTGAATGAACTAATGTGAACAAACTGAGTGTAAATCACCCATTAGCTGCATGGGGCAGTGAGGAGCACAGTGCCCAGTCAGCTCAGCCTGTTGTCAGTTCATGCTTACTGTCTGTTCAGAATACTCCAGATTGGTTTGGAGACATTTCTCCCTTAGTAAATCAATAAAGTTTATTTGCAAAGCACATTTCAGCAACAAGGCGTTGCATCATAAAAGCACAAAAATACAAAGTGAGACATTATATTACATTACATGTGAGACATTATATTTTGCCAAATGCCATCATTACACAGCAAAGGGTTGATTAGTGTTTCATTTATTATGGGTCAAAAGCCATTCTAAACAGGTGGGTTTTTAGTGTACATTTAAAGGAACTCAGTGTTTCAGCAGTTTTGATATTTTACAAAAGTTTTTTCCAGATTTGTGATGGATAGACGCTAAATGCTTCTATGCACCACTGAAATCACAAACGAAACCATCACAAAGCGTGGCATTTAAGTGATGAGTGACAAGAATTTGAAAGAAGAGTGGTTGAAGAAAAATCAGGTTTGGACTCAAACTTGGAATCAACAGGATGTCACATTTCAGCTATTCCTCATTGCTATTGAATGAAGCAATATCTGAATCTTCATCTTACACAGAACAGACAAGATGTAGACAAACAAATCTGTATCTACATGCTCCTCCTCTGCTTGACTTTATGTCTCTGGTATGGCTTCAAACTGAAGAAGTCTTTGTCTTTACCTAACAGAAAGGGATTTCCTGCATGTGTCTATCCCACTGTGAAGAAGCCCTGTCCTTCCTGAACGCTGCACACTTTAGCAGAGCTGAAAGATATTAAAACGTGTTTAAACAGACTTTAAAATGAGACAAGGCACCCTACAGAGGAACGTAATAAGGAAAATTAATTAAAGTGGGAACTAGGAGAGAGGCTGTATGATGCAGCGCTCGAGAATCCAGAGGCAGACTGCAAGGAAACTGCACACAGCAGGACTTTGACTTTAAACAGATGAAGAAATAACAGTAAAGACGTTATTATTAAAAATCCCACCATGACTGTAAATGTCTCATTGATAGCCTGGAAATTATAAAGAAAAGGAGAAAAACAGCAGTCCATTAAAAACGGTGGTTCAAAGATCAGCAAAGGAATAGCAATAAATCTCTATTCTTTGTAATTATGGGTGCCATTGGCTTAGCAGTTTTGGTTGCTAAAGGAAATTATATCAGCCCTGTGTATCATGTCCATATGAACCCAGTATTCTGCATGTTTTGTTCTCCCTGCATCATTCTACAGATCAACCTGACCAATGATTTCTGAAAGAAAATAAGGAAAAGAAAGAAAAATAGCAAAGCAGAATTTTAAGACATTAAATTATTGTACTGGTGCGAACATGGACCCTTTGTTTCCACGTGATCGTTTTTCTGCATGATTACAAAAGTCTGCTTTACTTTTGCAGACTTCTTATGCCACCTTGTGACCAGTATAAGGAAGTAAAGATTTTTTCTTAGTTTCTTATGAATTTGACTGAATATTTTTTTGTTTGTTTGTTTTGTTTTTAGATAGATAGATAGATAGATAGATAGATAGATAGATAGATAGATAGATAGATAGATAGATAGATAGATAGATAGATAGATAGATAGATAGATAGATAGATAGATAGATAGATAGATAGATAGATAGATAGATAGATAGATAGATAGATAGATAGATAGATAGATAGATAGATAGATAGATAGATAGATAGATAGATAGATAGATAGATAGATAGATAGATAGATAGATAGATAGATAGATAGATAGATAGATAGATAGATAGATAGATAGATAGATAGATAGATAGATAGATAGATAGATAGATAGATAGATAGATAGATAGATAGATAGATAGATAGATAGATAGATAGATAGATAGATAGATAGATAGATAGATAGATAGATAGATAGATAGATAGATAGATAGATATCGATATTGATATGAAGCCTTTAGCATCACAGCCAGCATTATGGCTCTGTTGGAAGAAGGTGCTCATGATCTCAACTGCCTGCATACTGAGAATACAATACATATAATAGTGGCAGCATCATGCCATCAGGAGCTTTTCTGCAGCAGGAAAGGGAAGTTGGGTTAAGTTCGGTTTCTGCTTGACACATGTACATTCAGAGCAGAATCAAGCTGGCACAATTTTTATACTCTGCTTGGGTCATCTGTGCTAAACTCTAGGGGGCGGTATATGGTACCTATGGCAAACATATAACACTACCCAGCATGTTTAGCAGTAAACTGAGCTGTTTCTGACAGCTGTGAAATGTTTGTGCAGCAATAGTCCTCAGTCAGAGGCTTCTTCAAATTCACTGCAAGACTGACTGCTACTGGAGATCCTTCATTCTCATTTACCACTCACCCCACCCAGAGTACTGTCTGTCCCCCTCCTTCAATTAGAACAATATCAAGCAAGTACGTACAGAAAACAGATGAATGCTCTGAATTCTTTCATTTCGTTGTGTTGTTTCCTTGAAAAATGTCCCTTCTAAAGGCTGTTTTACATTCATAACTTCTCCCTCCATCCCAGAATGAATGTGGAGTCAGAACATGCTCACCATAGCACGACCGCCCAGGACAGTGAGACAAGATTAAGTGGTAGGGGCAAGGGATAAAAGGTGATTTGGCCAATGGCATTTTATCCCTTTACTTCACTGCCACCCAGCTAGCAGCATCAGCAGCAACACACTGCTGGAACCTAGCAAGAGCCCCTTTTTATTAGATTATGAAACATTAAAGAATGCAGTCATTTCCTGAAGCTGGTGGACAGCAGTAAACAACTTCTTATCAGAAAACGATGACTCATGATATGTTTCTGCTGCTTTTTTCACCTTGGCAACTCCTGTACATCAGCACTAATAAGGCTAATGTGATGTTCTCCCCGCAAAGTGGGGAAAGGTTTCTGGTGCTGTGGATCTAAGATGAGATGTTTTAAAATAAAATACAATGTATAAAATAAAATAAAATTTATTAAAATAAAATAAAAACTATAAAATACCCATAAGTGTTTTAACATTTTAGAGCATATTGCATGCTAATTAGTATTACATTTACTGTGTCAGCTAGCTGCTGACACTGTTCATTGTTAACTTTTGTTTTTCAACTGGGTTGGGCAAATTTTAACATTCTTACAAACTAATAAATAAGAAGTTTCTGTGTTTACACTGAGGTACAGGACAGAAACACGCTATGACAGCTAAATCATCTGCTTGAATTTGACTAGATCAGTGTTTTTTTTTTACCTTTGCTAGATATGAGAAAAAGAGAAGATAAAAGTGAATCGAGATTCTGTGTACAACAGATGGAGCAATACATTAGAAGACAACTTTTTTTTTGGTCATCTCTACAAAATGTTTTAACATGAACATCTGTTATACTAAGCTGTTTCTCAATCTTTCAGTTACAAATCCTTCCACTGTTCTATATTTACTTGTGCCAGTGACTACATGTGTGCAAACCAAAGCTACTTTATCAGACATCAATCAGCGTAAAGGGTGCATGAAGGGTGAACTAAACACCCATCAGTGTTTAGTTCATTTTCTGAGCTGAAGTTATTCACAAGCAAAAAGAACATCACTGAGGCCCAATGTCTCCCATCCCATGCATGAAGCAGCTACTGAACTGCAGAGCTCCTTCAGCGACACACTGGTGCACGTGTGCACAAAGGAGTCTTACAGCAGGTCCTTTATACAGCTGAACCATTACTGTACCCAAGAAACTGTAATGCCTGCAATTGTTTGCATAGGTTTTTTTAATATTCTGTAATTTTCTGTTTTTTATGCACAAATATATATGTACATTTGCTATTTATTTATGTGCTTACTCAGTTGGGCATTTATCAGAAAATAGTATACTATTTTTTAATACAGGTACCTTTTTTCTTTTGGTTGTAAATTTTTTCTCACTGTACAATCTTTTTTCCATTTTCTGTTTTTATATATTTTTGTGTAAATCTGCATGCTTCAAATTGTGTGTGAATCAGCTGCAACAACATATAAATTTCCCCTTTAGGGGACAAATTATGTTTCTTTTCTACTTCAGTTTAGTTTTAAAATCTCAAAAGAGCACAAATCTGAGGCATTTAACTGCCTCAGATCCACGAAATACATCACTTCCCATATAAATTAGAGAATAGTTGTTCCTTTGCGGTTGTATCTCAATTTTCTTGTGAAAATGTGCAAAGTCTTTACATACCTGAACATAAAATAAAAAAAAAACTCCCTGCTGTCAGATTAATAGTAGATGCGTAAACACTGCCACCTTCTGGTCAAATAATGATTTCACTTTATTTTGGCTTTAGTATTTTGGCTCCAGTGCACAGTTAATGCTTATGAATGTAATCTAACTTGATCAAGCATGACGTTTAAAGCAGTTATTCTAGTTTAGAACTAAATGTTCGTCAATGTTAAAATAATATATTTACTAGTGAAGAAGGTTACAAACAACACTGGTGTGAGAAAGGTTTATGGCAAGGCTTGCCGAAGCTAACTTCAGTGTCGTCAATTCAGGAAGTGACGTCGTCCAAGTAAACAGAAATAGCAGAGACGAGGAGCAGTCGTTCACTGTCAACCAGCGGATAGTCTACTCTTTTAAACACGACTCCCGTGTCCAGTCGTCTGTTTTTTTCCGTTCATTATGTCCATGTTACTACCGGGCAGAGTTACTATGACCTTTTTCGTGTTGTCTGTTGTTGGGCTGCTGCTTGTTAGCTTTGTTAGCCAGGGTAAATGCCAAACAACTGCGCCGCCACCACCCCGTAAGTTCCGTCATTTTCTTTCTGAAGTTAGCTTTTACGTGCTAAATTTTTATTGCATGTTTATGAAAGCTTAACTTCAGTTTGGTGACGTTTCAGAGGAAATTAACTAGATATTTAGCTGGATTTAGAAGCAACGCCACTACTGAAAGGCGTGTATGTGTGCACATTGGTAGTCTGTTTCTGACCTGAAAAAAACTTTCTTTTTTTGGTCTAAAACTTCATTTGGAGTTTTAGCTTCATTACTTGGTGTTTTTCCTCCAGAAACTTTCAGGTGATTCAGTGCCCTTGTGCTCTTTGAAGGGTTACTTCACACTCTTCACTCTGGGTTGTATCTAACAAGTTTAACATTTTAGTATTTCTTTTTGAAAGTCATTTTTGGTGAAATACTGGGTTTTTCTGAGGCATTCTTACTAATAGTGCTGCCTCCAGATGTTGCGAAATCAGTCTTCTGTCCGACATTGTGGGGTTTGCCAATAACTGTGTTTATGAATTTATTACATCCCTCCCACTTATGAAGCTTTAAAGGTCACGAAAAATATCAACGCAGCTTATTAAGATAAAGGAATCATAATGATTAACCTTGGTATTTTCCTTTCTGACACTGGAACAATAAAATCAGCTCCTGTCCTTATGGAACCAACTGTGTCAAAGTCTTTGTCATAAATGTTCTTCTGTACTGCAGTTCGAATTATTTCTTCTGTTTAGATTAACACTGTGTTAACAAGTTTTAGTACAATTGCAATTTACTATTTTGATTTGATTGCTTTTTTAAAATTGATTTAACCTGAATTAATTTTTTCTTCAGCACATTTCAGATTATCCCTTCAGTTTTGAGCATCCACACTGAATATTTGTTGCAAATGACAGTTTTCTCATCAAGTTTATTTTTAATCTCCTTTCATTCAGCATGTTCCATCAACAAGAACTGTGACAGCTGCGTTCCTCATGCTAAGGTGGGTGATAAATCCAGACCTTTGCCCTCATATTTTTTCCACTTTGTAAATTATGGTTTTACTGTCCTTTGATCTTTCTCTTAAAATAATATATTATCTTTAATGGATCTGTTCGCATGAAATATTTAGGAAATATGTTTTCTGGATTTATTGAAAGTGTGGGTTCTCACCACTAATAATGATGCTGTTTTTTTCTTACAATATTTCAATAAAACATGTAGTTTTCTGTTTATGTCTTAGTCTTTACTTAGTCAAATGATGAGCATGTTGTCATAGTGACATTTCCTTATGAAGAGCTTTCGTCAGTACATTTGTTTGCACTACCATGGTGTGTCATGTCCCACTTGGCCATTTGCTGTATCTGACTTTTTCTCTTAAAAAAGTTATCTTCTATGTTATAGAAGATAACATAGAAGATTATTTCCTCTATATTTGATGGAATAGAGAGATTAATATTTACTTAAATGTAATTTATGTTCCTTTATTTTTATTTTTTTATTTTTGAGGGGATATTTGACTCCAATGACATTAATAAAGAACTCTTGATCAAACCATACTAACCCAGAATAACCTCTCGCTGGTTAACAAGTCCTTATTGTTTTATCATGACCCGGCAGACAGTGAGTGAACTGTAATAAATGAAACTTCTGGGTCTGATGTTTTCATGTTGTCTCCACAGTGTCTCTGGTGTTTTGCCACCAACAACTGCACAGATTACCCTGTGACCTGGCTGTTGCCCCCAGCATCGCTGTGCCCGCTGTCTCAGGCCCGGTGGGGGGTGTGCTGGTGTGAGTTGGTCTTGTTGCTCTCTCTGTTTACTTTTGACTTTCAGAGAAACTGAAGACTGCCTTCTTTGGGAAGAGGACGTCACTCTTATAGTTTGATTGAATTTAAGGTGGAATTACTTATTGCCGTGATTTAAACATATAACCAAACAAAACCCACCCTGACATATGGAACCTTAAATGCTTTTTAAATAGACATGCCTGTTCAAAACAGGCAAATTTCCTTCTATGTTTTTATTTCCGGGCCTCAACAATTGAGTGACATGTTTCAGTCAAAACTTTCGTTTCCTCTAACTGTGAATTGTTTCACTGTCTCTGACATATCTGTTGGCTCTATATCTTTCCCTAACTGCAGTCTACATGCTTCCTCTTTATTTATTTTTAAAAGTCCAACCCAGCAGCTTCATAATTGTAAGTTGGAACTGGGTGCAGATCGGGGATTCCCCATGTTTACTGAACTGAAGAGAGAAACTTCATGAGTTAAATGTTAAGAACCTTTCAAACACAGAGACATTTTTTCTCTCAGTCTATTTAAGTAAGACACAAATATTACCTGAGCTTTTGAAAAATACAACATCTCCTAATTTTTTATTAATGTATATGACAGAAAATTTGTTGTCATTCTTAAAGTGCACCCATCTTTTTCCTATTTTTATGTTAGTATAAAGAAAAACATAAAACTTTTTCAAAAAGATGTCTACATTTTCTTATATGGGATGTTGATCTTTGGACAGAGTTACCAAATTATTAGCAAGAAAAATAGATCTAAATAAATTTACTGTCATCCTGTTGTGAAAATCTAATGTAATTGTTTCATGAAAAAACCTACAAAATAGATAAACGCTCCATTTGTTATTCGTAAAACTTTAGTTGTTTTTTTTTTTTTATCGTCAGCAACTGATATTTTGTGAAATTAACTTTAGACTCTGTAAGAGTTGTTCATTATTTTATGACTACTTGTTTCTCTAATGGTTATATTAGCATAGGTTTTATTATACACTTCAAAATTGTTTCATATTTAAACTTGTTTATTTCTGACTCACTTTTAGGACTTAATGTGAGCCATGATACTCCACAATGACACAAATTGTTTCAATCTAACATTGACTTTGTGATTCCTGTAGTCTTGTGTTCAGCCACTGGTTAGGCTGTGGGATCTGGGGACAATATGGGGTAATTTTAGTCTCCACCTGATTAGAGGCCCTTCTGAACTCTGTGTTTCACTGGAAACTGAAACTTAGAGTTTCACTGTACTATGAAAAACCTGCAGTATTATGGATAAACCAGCAGGTGGAGCTGCAGCCAAATGTGTTGAGTGTCCTGCGGGATGTTTCTTACTGAACCTTAAGGATCTTTTGAACAGGAAAATGTTTGATGCTATGCTTATTTGTGTGTGTGTCTCAGTGAACTTTGAAGCGCTGATCATCGCCCTGGCAGTGGTGGCCGGAACCATCCTGATCGGCATCAGCGTCTGCTGCTGCTGTTGCTGCTGCTGCAAAAGACGACGCTCAAGGTGAGGTCACATGACTGCATCATTCTGTAACATCACAACAAGTTCAGATTAAAGCCTCAAAACAAGCAGACTGGTCATTCCAACAAGACCAACTTGTGACGTTGTTTCTTGTTTTTTTAGCAGGTGAAAACAAGTTTGAGATTTTAGCTGGAGATATAATAAATAATAAAAGTTTATTCTCAATAAACTAACCCAAGCAGACATTATCTGTACAATTATTCCAACAGAAAGAGATGATCATGTTAAGCCAGTATGTTTTGATATAGTAGTATAGTGAAGACATCATACCAAAACAAGCTAAAGATCTTATAATAGCATCATGTAGGTATTTAAATGTTGATCATTTCATAAAGATGAATATCTGTGTGGTTGGGTTTTGAGGTTTCTGATTGACATTTACAAACTCCAGCACATTGATGCAGTATTTGGGGCAACACTTTGCCCCAAATGCAACTATTTTCTTCTTCTTCTCTGCTCCTGTGTTAAACGTTTATGTTTTTTTTTTGCGGATGCTGCTGGATTGTTTGCTACTTTCTTGTTGCTTTAATTACGGAAAAAGAAGTATGATCATACAGTAATTAATTATTTTCGTTTCATGGCAACAAAGAAGCTCCTACATTCAGTATCACAAGGCAGCATTCATGAATCTTCAGGAACTGAACTGAATTTGGCTTTTAAGTTTGTGTGTGTGGGGGGGTGTAGGTGTGGGTGTGTGTGTGTGTGTGGTGCTCAGTTATTGTGTTGCAGTGAAAATAAAACCATCCCATCAGTCAGTCAGCCGTCTGCCGGCCTGTCAGTCACTGACAGAACTGTTAGTAGGAATCAAACCTTCCTGGAACTCCACTATCTCACTTCACTTCTGCTTCACTTTTTATATTTCAATGTGTTCAGCATCAGTAATGGTGTATAACAAAACTTGGAACCTCCTTGTTGTTTCGCATTAGAATAAAGCGAGTGAAGCTACCCAAATAGCTCCAGAAAACTGAAGGCTTTTTGTTATTTGTTGAGCTGTGATGTGCAGTGATTCTCATGTTTCTTTTATGTGAAGGCCTGACAGAGATGAGGAGAGATTTGCCAGGAGGAGAGAGGAGATCAGACAGCGCGCTGAGGAACGGTAAAAACTTCCCTCCAGGCCTCTATAGAAACATGCAAAGCACATCAGAACAGGCTTCATGTGACAGCTGTCCTGGTCCTGTCAGAACTGAAGCTTTGGTCAGATCAGTGCTTTTTATCAGAAACTTTAATAATGTCTCAGTTCAGAACTTACAGAAAGCTTAGTGTGGTCCCTCCCCCTCTTCCTTCTTTCCTTCCTTCATTTTTTCCCCCTCCTTTCAACATGTTCTTCTTTAAACATAATATTTAAGGGTAGAAAACTGAGAATTCTAAAAATTAAAGGATATATTTTTTCATGGGAGAAACACAAAAACCCCATAAAACACATTAAAAGATTAAATAATTTTGTTTATGGAATAAGATTTGAATTCCCAAGAATATCTTCAAACACAAAGACTAATTGTTGAAGTATTATGTGGGTTACCACTGCTGCCTTACTTTACTAAAGTAAGATAGTGAAGTGTGTTTGTCTGCACAATATTATTTCAACCAACTCCAGGTAAAACCGGGAGCCGCACCACACTTGTTTTTTTTTCATATTTAAGCTTTAAAAACAATGTGGAGCTTTAGTCGTGTTCTGACCCAGGAGCATCCTGTAGAACCGCCTCTTCCATGTTCTCTATTCTATGTTCAGGAGTCAGCAGCTGGTGTCTGGCTCTGACCAGCCCCAGAGGATTTCAGTGTTCTTCCACTTGGATTGTTTAGTGTCAGCAGCTGCTGCTGGTCATGTGCTCAGAACCAGAGGACTACTTCCTGTCCAGGGCCGTCCTCTGTTAGAGCAAACACTCTGAGGAACAGAATTTAGTTCTACTCTGGACTTCAAGAACAAGAGCAAAAATCTATCATACTTAACAACCCAAGTTTTAGTAGACGTGCCCACAGCGACTAATTATTAAACAGAGTTTTGTTGCCCTGGGAGACCAACCTCTCTGTTGTGGATCAGGTCCTGGGCTTTAGACAGCGTTGTAATAAGCTGATCACATCTCTGAATGACCTGTGGAGATGGAGGTCATGCTCTGGAGGAACCTGGACCTCTGCTGCTTCCTGGTCTCCCTCATGCTGCAGCCACTTCCAGACAGAGCTCTGATGCTGCTGATCAACTCACTTTTACTTCCTTTTGTCAGTTTTACTTCAAAGCAAACAAGTGGTAGAACCTTCAGTTTTTGTAATAAAAAATAGTCTAAAACTAAAGTCTAGTCATGGGTGGAACACCAGACCACCTCAGATGTGTGACTGGTCCAGTTCCAGTCTTCTCCCTTTCCTGTTTGAAGTTTAAGTTCACTTCACTTCAGAAAAACTTTATTAATCCCAGAGGGAAATTAACTATTATTGTAACTCAGCATCTAGAGTCCCAGATGCTCCTGACTGCGGCCAGGAAGACTCTCCTGTAGCAGTCTGCATTACAGTTGTACCGAAGAAACCTCTGACTGAAGAAATTGAGGAAGCTTGAGATTGTTCTTGTTGTTCTTCAGTTTTCTTCTATCTCTTTTCTAAAACCACAACAGCTGTTAGAAAAACATTAATGACCTCAGAGGAACTTGCTTCAGTTGGGGTCAGATTACTTTAGAAACAAACTAAAAGCAGACCTTTGAAGGAGAGAATGGTAAGTTCAGGACTAAAAACTGACTGGTGCACATGTCAGGCAGGTTTGACTTTCTTTAACCAATTTATAGGCAAATTGCACTCTCTAGAATTGAACCGCTCTTGATTGGAGCATTTAGTTTCCTTTTGGGATAAAAACAAAATATTTCTGAACTGAATTTAAAGGAATCCCAAACAGAATTCACTTTTATAAACTTCATTTTATAGAAAATACTTCCAACAATCAGGGCTGTTTTGACCCATTTTTCTTGAGAATTTGTGTTAACTGTTAACCATTGACCATCTTAAGACTGCAAACCCGTAAGATGCTCAGACTTTAGCATAAGGAAGGAACTTCTCAGTTACACAAGCTGCAGCAGAGGTCTGGATCAGACTTTTATTCTGTTCTTCCCTCTACCTCTGCTTTCACTTCCAGCTTGTAGAAGGAAGCCATGTTAAGAAGTACGAGGGCTCACTTCTGTACAAGTTGGTCTGTCTCCCTGTCAATGCATCAAGTTTCTAGAAAACATTATTTCAAACCTTTCCTGAGTGTGCAGATGTGACAGCAGTTTGTTCCTCCAGGCTTTGGCCCAGTCAGTACAAACAGATGGCCTAGAGACTGGTTTAGATTTTAGTCAGATGTGATTGGTTGAGTCTGGCCTGACAATCACGATGACCTTTTTGTTTTCTCTGGTTGTCTTCTACAGTAAGGTGGAGAGGCAGTCAAAACACGATGAGATCCGGAGAAAGTATGGTGAGTATTCATGTTTTAATGTCACACATTTCCCCACTAACAAAGAACAGAGAGCTCTGTCATTTTCATGGTAGCCGTAAATGAAACCAAACCTTTACATACACTGAATATAGAGACACAAACCCGATTTTTCATAATGACGTCTGGAATTAAATCAGACCAAACATTAATTGTTTTAGCTTAGTTCAAATTACCAAAATCTTTTCTATTTAATTGCCAGAAAATGTGGAGATAACATTTTTTAGACTTTTGTTCTAGCTTTACTCAAATTCAAAAGTTTCCAGTTTACTGAGTACATTTGCTCAGTATCATTGATATTTGCCTTTATTCTGCCCCCTCCAAAATGTTGGATTAGAATCTGAGATTCCTGAAGCTGCTGTATCTGTAATGAGTTTGTTGTGAATCTATGGTGTGATCCAAAGCAACGAGGAATTTTGAAATATATCAGATGATAACAATGGCTCTCCCTGGCAGCTGGGACGGGACAGTCCTCCAGCTCCTTGGACTAGTGATCAGTGGTCTCTTTGGGCCTCTCTAAACATGTGCATGTATTTGTGATCATATAGAATCTGTGGTGATTACGCACAGTAGGAAATGACATCTGAGTGTGAGTTCATTAGAAAAGGCTCTGTATAACTTAAATACAATTAAAAGGTGAGAACTCATGTATTATATACATCAGATCAATATATTGATCTGTTTAAATAGATGGATAACTGCATTTTAGATGGGTATAAAAACGTAGTGAGAGCTGGGTGTCTGTGTGTGCACTAAGACGGGAGAGTGACTGATGTACAGGCTCTTTGGCCTCCTGCCATCATCACTAGAAGTCATTCTGGAGAGGAGGACACTTCCTGTGTCCTAACAGTTCAACCTTAGTTTGTACAGATTATTACAGGGATTATCAGGCTGATGCAGGATCAGTGGTTTGTACCACTATGTGTGTATAAAGTGGCTCAGCTTTTGTAGCATTAGCCCAGTGAACAGTCAAGTCACATTTGGTCAGAAGCTTTAATGTGTTTTATTTACTTTTTTTTTTTTTTTTTGACAAAGTATTGGAAAATTATGAAGGTTTCAGGTGTTTGGCAATTTTTCCCAAGCGGTTTACAATCTGATATGTGTATTCACTGACATTACAGCGGCAACTCTTTTGTAGTCATATGAACAAAATTATCCTAAAGCTGCAGTGATGTTTCAGGAGGCTCCTCTTTGAAGTCGTACCAGTCCCATGCTGCTGCTTCTGTCACTTCACTAATTCATACCATAGATGAGATCCACAAATATTTGAGACCCTCTCTAAAAACTCTTAAAACCGCCTTCTAATAGTTCAAACACCAAATCTGCTAACTGGAGCTGCTACTTGACATCCGCATGTCAAGTAGCAGCTCCATTTTCTTTCAAATGTTCTAGATATGTTCCCTAAAATATATCCATAAAGTCAGGATTTTTATTTTTTTTTGTAAATAATTTGGAGTTGCATTCCAGAGAAAAATCTCTTGAATATTGGTCCGCTTAAAAAAATATTTTTTTGATGACTGCTGTTCCATATTAAACCTAAAATGTCTGAGATCCTATGGATCAGTTCTAGCAGAAATAATTTAACCTGATAAAACAGTTAAATATTGTAATAATGGTATAAATACGGCTGTAGTTCAGCAGAGCTGTGTCCAGTAAAACTTCATTCCATGCGTGTACACTGATGAAGCCTTCCTCAGAGATGAGGTAGGAGCATCTATCAGAAGTTGACCTGACTTGACCTCTGATGTTGTTCTGCTGTCTCTGTGCAGGCCTGATGGGGGACTCGGACCACCCATACAGCAAGTTTGAGAACGAGTGAAGCAGCTGAGCTGGAGGACTGAGCTGCTCTCATGTTTTCACTTTTAGCTTGAATTTCTGTCTCTTTGTCTCCTGATGCTAACTCTGCAGACCACAGCTGGACACACCCACCTAGATCCAGGCCCAGATTCCACTTTCTCCTGTTCAATAAACACAACCTGACTGACTGACTGACTGACTGACTGACTGACTGACTGACTGACTGACTGACTGACTGACTGACTGACTGACTGACTGACTGACTGACTGACTGACTGACTGACTGACTGACTGACTGACTGACTGACTGACTGACTGACTGACTGGGTCTGGGAGTTCTGTTTAGTCTTGGATGAATGTGAAGCCTGTTTTTAATTTTTTTTCCTAATTTCATGTGTTCAGAAATGTTTTCTCTTTTTAGATATCCTACTTTCACATTAGTCTTTTTGCACTTTGAACATGAAAGAAATTTATAAATTACACAATTATGATTGCATCATTGACGTGTTCACATAAAGAAAGGTTGTGTAAAAAAAAAAGTTTTTTTCTTTGTTTCTTTTTTGTAACATCAAAGTTAGCAAGTCTGACACTGCTAATCTTCTCCTGCCACCTCTTAGTACATCCATTAGCACCATCCAGATCAGGCCTGCTTCTGAAAAATGTTGGTATTAATTCTAAAGCTTACAGTGATATGAAAAATGTCATTACTGATTCACTGTTTCAGTTATCATGGCTGATTACAGGTACAGCTCAAATTTCAATATTGTGGAAAAGTGCAATATTGTCATTTACATTTAGAAATATAAATTCATCAAATAGATTTATAAGACATGATGTAACATGTTAAGCTTTTCGGAAAATTAGAATATTAACACCAATTAAACATTTTTAGCATCTTAATATTATGTAATGTCTATATTATAAGACTATAATATAGACATTATTATGTCTATTGCATCACAGGAAGGACTGCAGCTTTGAGAAAGTTTTCCAGCAGGATTGGCACCTGAACACACTGCCAAAGGTACTAATACCTGGTTCAGTTTCAGAAAGAGGAGGAGTTTTCAGAGACAGAGGCCCAATTCCAAGGAGTTAAATTATCATTTCAAATTTATTTTAGTCAAATTTGGAAGATATGACATTTTTATAATAAGTTAACATAAGTACTTGACTATTCTATAAAATGCCAAAGTGTGCTTGGAAAACACAATACTGCTCCTTTACATCCAGACAGCATTAATGAAAGTTGTATTTGTTTGATCTTTAGCCACTTATATTGTGTGTTTGTGTGAGTGTAAACTCGGCCTCAGCTCCTGGCAGACAAACAGTTGGGATCCCCACAGGATGGCTAAAACCCTGGGATGGAGGTAGGTCTGCAGTAGAACACAGTAGCATCAGCCCCCAGACCTCAGCGGACTACTGAAACCCGCGACCCAGAACCAAGAAGGGAGAGACTGTTATACAGTTGGAGTCACAGTGTACCATGGAGTGCTTCTGTCTTTAAGAGAGGATCCTGAAACCAGGGTGTGTCCATCCAACTAAGTGGGTTTCCTGTATCCAGACCCCCTGGTACTCCCAACCTGCTGGGCAGACATTGAGTTACAGAAGGCCTGTGGGAAGAAGGGCACAGTACAATCCCACCGAGTGAAACAGCTCTAACTCTTGGGTACGACTTTGACCAGTTAGCTTTATGAAACCACAGCTGAATTGGTCCAAGATGTCTTGGTTCGAGCAATCCAAGAGTTCAAATTACATGTCTAATCCACAGATGAAATAGCAGCCAGTGGATTACTATTGCTGTAAAGTTAATGACAACACAAGTGATAGTCTACTGTTGCTATGTTGTCATCCAGGAGGAGTGAATGCTGCAAGTCAATGATTCCATTCAATCTGTTGGGTTTTCTTAGGTAGAAAACTTAAAACTAATTAAAATAATAAACTGAGCTTAATTTACCGTGATAAAAAGAAAAGCCTGTTGGTTGATGAGTATTGAATGAACTCTTTTTCTTTTGAGTTCTATTGGTGATTGGCAAACCAACTTAAAGCGCATGTACTGCCATCTATCAAAATGTAACGTAGATGTCAAGGTGATTGAACTCACCTGTGTTGAAAGAGATAAAAGGAAACAGGTGAAGAGTGAGGATGGTCCATTTCTTAGTTCTGCTGATGGTTGGCTCAGTGACTAGTGCTGGTTACTTGCGGTGAAGAAAGTTAAGTAGGGAGCTGCTCCAATGAAAGGAGAGAGTGGTTGCTTCTTAAAGACAGTTAGGGACTGGGGGTTACATGTTCCAGATCTGATAAAGATGTGTTATACAGTTGGAGTCACAGTTTGAACCACAGTGTAACCAGAGTGCTTCTGTCTTTAAGAGAGCATCCTGAAGCCAGGGGTGTGTTCATCCAACCAAGGCGGTTTCCTGTATCCACACCCCAGCAGGTTGGGAGTTCTTGTCAGTAGCTAAGCGTTCTCTTTAAAATGTCATGAGCTGTTTTGTTTATGTTAGTTGAATGTCTTTATGGGACCAGTCTGATAATCTGGTAATCATGGGGCAATAGTGGTGATGGTGGTAGGAGTTGATCTTGTGACCAAGATCTCATGTTTCTCATTTGAACCTTGTTTTTCTTAATCTCTGTCGTCGTCTCTTTGGTCAGGACATCTTATCTGATGGTCACTGGTCAGAGGGCCCGGTGGCAACTGTGCAGCAGTCCCTCTGAGTTGCAGTGGTCTGCATGTGTGGGTTTTCTTTCCTGTTAGTTTTAGATGTCCGATTTTTTGGCTTCTCTTTAAAAGATTTTAAGTAGTATAAATAAACAAATATTTTCTATAAAGTTGAACAATTCCTGCACATTAATGTTCTCATTACAGCACTGTTTGATACTAGTATTAATTGGAATGTATTTGTGACTGAATTGAGCTGACAGTCTTCTAAAGTGCCTCCAAATGACATTTGTTGTGCATACAAGTAAACAGAAGTGAATAGAAGTGAGTTGGAAGGGTTGCCAGGAGACAACTAAGAACAAAATCTAGCAACACCACTAAGGTTTCAAGCTTCTGGAACACAAATACACATGACCAAAGAAAGAGATGTTTGTTCATAATGCAATAAGTCTGTAAGAAAAACTAATTGGATATTGGCTCAAACATCACCTCACCAACTGTAAAGCACGGTGGTGGAGAGCCCATCATTCACACTGGTTTTACAGCCATGAGACCTCTGAACCTTGTGGTAATGATCTTGACCCTCCTTGACACATTTACTTAAGACTTACTCAACTAACCACAAACCACAACAAGCTAAGATATGATAAAGAGACACCAACAAAGGCATGGAGTTGGGTCTTCATTGTGTTTCAGAATGCAGATGTGCTGTTACTTTACATCCTGTAGTCGCCTCATTAACAGTCACACAACTAATAAAGGAGCTATTCTAACTAATAAAGCGACGCATTTGTCTCTATTCTCCCGGAGCTGCAGTGGAAGTCATTAAAAACCCGCCTGCATTCCTCAAATGCTTCCACTGAGACATGTTGGGATCCACATCCAGCTGAGCTGCACCACTGCCGTGGTGACTGCAGCACACACACGCGCACACGCACCTACACACACACACATCATCAGATTGGAGATGGGAGCTCACGCACAAAGACATGACAGGAGCTCCTGCTCTGGGCTGCAGCTTTATATTATTGAAGCGGGCTCTGGACCGCTCGCTCTGCTCTTTTTCATCCATTCACTCCACTGGAAGTCCTGACAGGGAAACATGATGTTGTTGTGGGCATGATCTGCAGCGGTGGACAGAGGAGAAAATGCAGAATGATATTAAGAAGCAAAACAAGCTGGGATGCGTTAGATAGTGTGTAAAATGACCCGGTCCAGTAAAGGGCAGTAACCTGGACCAGTCTTCCTCTTGCAACACATTGCGGGGCGGCGCCGCTCTCTGACAGGCGGTCCCGGGGACGAACCGAAGTCCTCATCTTCGCGGGACTCCTCCAATCCCCGCATCCAGGGCGGGGTCCTGGAAAGAGAAAGAGAAGAGAAGGAGAGAGAGACTGAGAGAGAAGAGAGAGAGAGAGAGAGAGAGCCCCCGACCCTCCAAACCCCCCAAAAATATGACATCTAGATTGCGGCGAAGCTGGCAGCGACTGGGACCCAGAGAGAGAGGAAAGAAGTGAAATCTGGAGCGGAGGCTTTTCCAAGAGCTCAGCCCAGAACAAGCGCTTCGGAGCCTCCAGACTCTGGAGACTTTTTTCTTTGTCTCTTTTTCTTCTTCTTAGAAATGTAGCTGTATATTTGAGAAAAGAATAGCCCAGCCTCACTAGTTGATGAGAGATGTTCTGAGCCGCTAAGGCTCCGTTTTGCAGAGCTCCGCAACGCGCCGCAGCTGCTTTTGCACAGCCGAACATCAGCAATCGTTTCCCCGCTCCAAACCGCAGCCGCCCCGCTGCCTTCGTCCAGAAATGTGCGACCTGATGCCGGCCTCCCAGCCCGCTGAGAAGATAGGCAAGATGAAAAAGTTGAGGAGAACTTTGTCGGAGAGTTTCAGAAGTATCGGTGAGTAACGGGACTTTTCCCCCCTCCACAGTTTTTTCCATCAGCACTTTTGGGCCAGAACCAGTTAGTTGTGAAATGCCTCCAGATGCAGCTGCAGAGGGGATCTCTGCTCTCAGTTTAGCTTTTAACAGAATTTACATGGATTCTTGTCCTAGAAACGCTCTAAAGATTCCCATGACATTATTCAGATTTTACATTTCACTCTAATCTGTTTAACCCACTTCCGGGAGTCGCTTTGGGGAACAGAAAAGCCTCATTGTCTCAATACATGTGAGAAAGTGATCATCCGATCCGAAAGTGATCATGCTGATTTACAGCAGTCTGATTCTGCTGTAAACCAGCGGGTCTGAGCCCAGTTACTCATGCTTAATATCTCTTCATTGATCAGTAGTAATAAAAGTATAATTGAAGAGGTTCAGTATTTCCAAAGACATTAAAATAGAAACAATTTTCAAAAACTTATTTCTACAGGAATATGTTTCTTTCTGTCACTGGAAACGCAAATAAAATCATTTAGGTTGTTGGATTTAGATTCTGTTGACAAACCTGAAAGAATGTCAGTTTCAGAACAAGAGTTCCAAGAATTTTAAGAATTGTTTTGGCCACATTACAGCAGAAGAGTGGACCTGAACCCATGCTATTCTCTTTTTTTATTGGAGAATAAAAATCTCATGTTCACTCTTAGAGATGAAAGTTTTTGAATAACTGATATTTGCAATTTGTTTGGTAAATTGGTTGAGCTGCCATTTTTTTTTAAACTATGTTTAAATATTTGTTATTAAAACAATTCAGTCTGAATATTCTATTATTGTAATAATTATTATTGATATTATTAATGAACTGGTTGCCTTATGTGTTGCTTTTCAAAATGATATGATTGTGATTTGTTGGTATTTAGTGGTTGTTTTGTCAAAACATCACAATTGTAATAATATAATAAACTAATGATTATTTTAGTGATCAATTATTCAATGGATTATTCTGATGATCATTCAATTAATCCGTTTAACAATGGACCCCTTATATAGATAAACCTTAATTTAAAAGATGAAAATAAAAAAAATAATTCCATATCTTTTTTAAATAATGAAATGAACATTTTATTGGGTAAAATTTAACAATGTGTTATTATTTATCATTTTAAGTAAAAGATTTTGGATTAACAGATTCATTATTGTACAGCTGAAAGGGCTTAATGGGGCTTTTTTTTTACTTTCTTTCTTTTTTTTAATTTTACATAATTTAGAAGCAAAAACTGCCATTTAAAGAGTCTTGGTTTACAGATGAAGTGTTTTAAAAAATCTTAATGTATATGTCAATACAGTTTTGGCTTGAATACTGCCCTGAGTATGTTTTTTTCAGCAAATGTACTAAATTAGTTCAATAATTGATTCATCCCAATCAATCATCTCAGCCCTAAAAAGTACAGTAGTTGGATCAGAGATGCTGATTTTTCTGTAGTTTGTGTTTTTGCCGTGCCGTTTTTTTCACTGACAGCCATATCTTATTTTAAACTATTGCAAGAAACTGAAAGACTAAAAAAATTCTAACTACCGTAAATCTTGTCTGTGAACTGACTGGAGGCGGTTCTTGTTGCAGAACAGATGGAGGGAACGTGGACATCCAGGGTCCAGGTTGGGTTTGTCTGATGACACTGTGAAATTCCTTCAATGATTTAATTTTTGGTGAAATATGCAAATCCCTCCCAATCCTTCTTTAAGCCACCTCCTGTTTTTTAAATGGGTCAATGATTTTTCTCACACATTAGTGGAGATCCACGTCTCCTCAAAGACATATTCTTTCACAGATCCAAATAGAAACAGCTGCTGTGTGTATTTAATGTAACAGTGTTTTGTTTTTCTTTAATACACCTTGCATGATCAGAAAACTGCAAGATTATTAAAATTATATCTTTTCAAGAGAGTAAAAATATGTTCAATCTAGTGTTCTACAACTTCCAGTTGCTTCTCAGGAGTTCCATTGCTTTTACTAAATGCAGTTGTTTAAGGTCTTTGCTTTGTTCAGCAATTTTATGCACTAAAAACAAAAGAAATAAGGTTTCTGCAGCTTCTGGTGGCTGAAATCGGATCATTTTCAGCTTGCTTGGTACCTCAGAATGACCGGCTGGTTGGAAATTCAAAAACCCAATCATTTTCCAGTTAGCAAATGCCCATAAGTGATCATTACCAGCTGGCACTGACCATTGTCAAAGAAACAGCAATGTGGAAATGTAAGAAGTAGGAATACACAATATGTTGGCACTAACATTGGTATCGGCTTGATAAATAAAACTGGACTGATATTAACAACTGATATTTATTTCCATCTTGTTGCTGCTTGGTTGGTTATGTGACATTGATAGTGATGCAGAAAAGGATTGTTGGTCGTTTAGTGACGCATAGAAGCAGTGAAGAAGTTTTAATGTTTCTAAAGGGCAGTGAAATATTTATACGATACCACTATACATAATATGGGTTATCAGTCATAACAGCAACATTAATATCAGATATCGATTCCGGCCAAATGTTAATGTCAGTGAACATTTGGAGTTTTGCTGTCCACCATGTTACAGTTTTTCTGTAACATGGTGTTTATGGCTGCTTTGTGCAGTAAATAAACACAACCCATCTCTCTGTGATCAGTTTTAACTTGATGGAATTTTATGTAGATAACCAAAGATTATGAACAAAACCAAGTCTGATATTCCAGCCATATTTTTTGTCTATGCATCAGTCTCTTCTTCTTTGTCTTTAGCATTTTTCTGTAACTTCTTTACATTACTCCAGAGAAGGCTAACATAGTTACTTCAGTATTTTTTGTCTTTTTGTTTTTATGTCTGAAGACTTTTTTTCAGGAAACGATGACAAAATAAGGAAGATATTTTTTTAAAAAGCACACAGCCATATTCAATAAATTAGAATACGCATTATGATGAGGCTCTTTTGTCAGATTAAAAGTAACTTTTGAACATAACCTTTAACCATGTAATAATCATACCTTTCATTAAACCCACAGGGTTTTATTGGTTAAAATGTGCAAATAGCAGAAGTCGTGCCTGCAGGGAACAGATCTTCAACAAATCTCACCAGTCACTATTTCATGAGAGAGAAAACGGTCCCTAAGAAGAAGCTGGGCCATAAAGCACAAGGAGACCGGGGGTCGAAACAAAGAGACTCCACTACCATGGATCAGGAGTGGTTGCATGTTTTCCTGGTGACTGAAACAAGGCTAGTGTTTCTGTGGATAAATCAGAACATGTTGCAGATTAAGAACAGCAAATGTTTTTATGTTGCAGATTAAAAGCAGCAAATGTTTTAATTTTTCTCCTCTCCCTGATTTTGCTGAGTTGGCAGAGGAGCTGGTGCAATATTTATGAAGGTTTGCTCTTAATTTGTTTGTTCTTGGTCTGTTGTGTAGTTTCTTAAGCAATCACACACTGGGCCCTTGTACCCCTCTCTCCTCTCTGCTGGCAGTCATTTTCCTTAAACTGGGGAGACAGAGACAAATGTGAAGGTTGCTTTAATATCAACACTGCAGCCTGAAGGATCCTGTATTTCTTTACAAGGATAAGACTATGTCTTCCTGGAGGACTTATACAGCCTCTAAGATCAGAAATAAACAGGACGAGTCGGGGTCAATGTTGTGAGAGAAAGAAAGATTGGCATTGACTTTTCTTGTGTGTTGATGCACGGCTCTTATTGGCTATCTTTCCTCCCATCTAGATCAACACCTCTGAGCATCGATCGGTCGCTTATTCCTCTCCACAGATTCTTTAACAAAGAATGGGAGCTGTTTTGTTTATGTCTTTGTTGCATGGCTGAGCAAACTGGTCCCAGTGGACTGGCCGGTACCGATCACTGAACTGAAGCTCCATACAGCAGAATGCAAGGTGAATGTTTTAACTGCAGCAGCCTCCCTTTATCCACTAAATGAAGGCAAAGGGGAGAATGTTGTCATCATGGATGTTCGGAGGTGCCCTGACAGGGAGATGACTTTATCTCACTTTCTGAGCTGTCAGCTGGAATCCTGGCAGGAGGAGGTTGTGGGCCAGCAACAATCCAGCCCATCTGTTATAGTATTAGACTGAATATTACACATTAACATTACGAATATATCAGATGATGCAGTTTTTTTCTGTGTAATTACATCTTTACCTTCAGTTAATAAATGAAATCAGTTTCTTTGATTCTCTCCGGTTCAGATGGTACTTGTTCAACCAGCAGAAAGCGTCAGTTGCCTCAGCCCTCACACGGACAGCTGAATGTCCTCTGAGTGTCTGGTTTTGCTGCTTTGGGCAGAAGAGGTGTTGTTTATAGAGTTCCGGTGTTTGAGTTGCAGTGTTGAGGAAAAGCATTTTCATATTTCTTCTGGAAAGATTAATTTTAAATTAAGATTTTGTTTATTAAAAAAGCAAACAAACAAAAAAAAAAAAAACCATACATCTATTCAGACCTACCTGATACAAGTAGGTAGACTGAATCAGATTGTGTTTCAGAGCAACACCTAATTTACTCACCATTTTTTAATGGATTCTGATACTCAGCTATCTGCCTGGGAAACATGAGTAATAAAGCTTTGATGAAGATTAGACCAATACACTGTAATCAGTCAGAGCATTGAAGGTTTAACAGAGGTTTTTCTTCCCTCATTACCGTCGGCATTGTGCCCTTGAGCAAGGCTATTAACCCCAGCAGCCGCTCAGTAACCACAGGATCAGAACGAGGTTCCGCCTCCAGAATGCTGAGATTTGATTAAGGATGTTCTAACTCTCTTGCTTCTGCTAAACTGGCAAACGAGGGATCTGAAGAAAAACCACCTCAGTGATTCTCTGCTTATTGATCACTGGAGTCCAACAGGATCCGTTAATGAAGCCATTGGCTGTACGAGCCATAATATGTCAATTTTAAGGTTAGTTTGCAATCCAAAGTCAAAAAGCATTTTGGCATTCACAAACATATGGGTGGTTGTAAATAAATACAACCACCCATGCAAAAAAAAAAAAAATATATATAAATATATATATATTTTTTTTAATTGAAAAAAAAATACAATTAGTCAAAAAGAGAAGCTCTCAATTTGCTGGTTAATCTACGTTCCCATCCTCATCTATGGTCATGAGCTTTGGGTCATGATCGAAAGAACGAGATCGCAGACAGAAGTGGCCGAAATGGGTTTTCTCTGTAGGGTGGCTGGGCTCTCCTTTAGAGAAAGGGTGAGAAGCTCTGTCATCCATGAGGGACTCAGAGTAAAGCCGCTGCTCCTTCACATTGAGAGGAGCCAGTTGAGCCGGCTCGGGCATCTGTTCAGGAATCCTCCTGGAGGCCTCCCTGGTGAGGTGTTCTGGGCACATCCCATCGGGAGAAGGCCCTGGGGAAGAACACGACACGCTGGACAGACTATGTTTCTCGGCTGGCCTAAGAACGGCTTGGGATTCCCCCAAAAGTGCTGGGGAGAGGGAAGTCTGGGCCTCCCTTCTTAACCTGCTAACCCCACCATCCAACCCTAGATAGGCGGAAGAAAATGGATGGATAATAGTATAAAATTGATAACAAACAACACAGACATCCCAGGTTAGAATCCTGTCCCAAGGTTAATTTACTGGACGTTTTCCCTTTCTTCTGTCCAGCTACAACTGTTTGCAACTCGAAACAAAACTCTTGTGTTGAAGTGTTGGGGTGGGCTTGTCTGGTCAGAGTACAGCAAGCTGAGACGGCGATCTTTGACTTTATTCAAGCCTGAACTGGTGGGATGAAAGAGTTGGAATATGTTTGGCATAAAGGTATTGTCTCCATTTATCAAAATCTATTCAAAACACGCTCAAAACAACACAAGGGAATGTATATAAACTTCTAAAATAAAAAATGAACCAGTTCATTACACAAAAATCATTACTCCAACAGTCAGAAATAGAAGCAGTGTTAGTATTTCTAACTGACCTAAAACAGGAAATGTTTTGTCTTATGTAATGTCACAGCTTTTGGGTAATTTCTTACCCTGAATGCAGATAACAGTTTTCAGATATAACACACGTGTGATATAGCAGTCAGTTTTTTTTTTCTTCAGGAACAACAAAGGGGAATGTGATATCCCTGTGTTTATACTTTTTTGTGGTTTTTAAGATGATTCTCCTGTCAGTCCAGTTATCATCTAATTTGTGTTTTCTCTGTTTCTCCTTACAGCTTTCAAGAAGGAAGACAGTAGCTTTGATGAGGTAGGTTGAAATCGTGAGGGTTTGGGGAATGAGTGCCGTCCCTGGCCCGGTTTCAGGGCTGGGCTGTTGCGATGTGTTTGCCTGAAATGATTTTTCAAGGTCTCATTGGCCAGATGTTGTCATGAAGGACTGCAGTGCGGCTGATTTTTCTCAGTTCCCTGTGGATCCTGTGGGAACTTGGTGCATATGGTGTGAAATATATTCAGGTCTCATCTCAGAGACATCCCTCTGGGTCAGTCACCATCACAAGACTGCTTTGGCCTGCTAAGGGAGACATCAAACCAGACTGGCTCTGCTCTCAGGACTCAGATGAAAATGTATTTTATCAGTTTCCTTCATGGGAACACCTGAGCTTTCTGTGCCTGTTGTGTTTCAAACAATTCAATTAGCTCAGGATGTTTTTGGAATATTCTCCTGCTCACTTTAAGTGTATTTCCATTTCAAATGTGCACAAAACCCCTAGGCTAAAACAAAAATACTATTTAACTAGTTGTTGTTAAATACTACTTAACAACAACTATTTATCACACATAAAACATTTTGTAAATGTCATGAGTCGTTAACAAACATGCTGTGCCATAATCTTCCTATGACTTTTCATGGTTTGCACCAGTGGGAACATCTGGTTGATCAAACCAATATTGATGTGGCCAAAAAAAATCACCTCATCCTAGCACCAAAACGATTTTATAAATAAACTTTTTTTTTTTGCTGTGTGTTAATTTTTTCTGATGGAAAAACAAATCTAAAAGCTGCTTAGTGTGTGTGTTGTTTTACATCATTACAGTTCAATTCTTCTGTTTTGTGTGAAAACAGAAGAAATCAGTTTTTCCTGATTTTTACCGAGCCAGCAGGCCTGAACTAGTCTGACATTGCAGGCCTGGATTGATTTATCCCACATTCTGCCTCAGCTCCAGTGTGATAGTCAGCTTCTTGATGAGGCAGTCAGTGGCTCTCAAACTTCTGGGACACAATTTTTGTGCTTCCAAGGTAATCATGCCTGGCTTGTGTTGAGGTGCAGCACAGCATTGCTGGGTTGCTGCAGACGGCTTCCTGAAGCGCTGCCCCTGCTCCTCAGCAGACACATGGCTTCTCCACTTTGGAACACTTCCAGTTCATGGTCTGCAGGGACGCTGCCTGATGAATAAGTGATAAAACGGCAGCAATCTTTGTGTTAAGGTTGGATGCAACGTGTTGTTACTGTGTGGTTGCTTTATTTGCTCTGTTAGGCAGATGCAGATGTAAAACTGTTCAGCTGAAACCTGGAGCCATGGAGCAACAAGAACTGCTTAAGGGTTTCATCCTCAAGAACACGTTCCAGTTCTACCTTCCTTTGTGTTTTTACTCTTTGCTTGACTTGGACTAATGATGATGCATTTTGTTTCGTCTGAATTTGAGGCAGTTATTACATCTGCATGAGTTATAATGTTTTCTTCCCTAAAAAGAACATGATCATATGGTGAGACAGATTAAAAATGCCTTTTTGAAAATAATCTATAATCGGACATGAATCATATTCTTCAGTAAGTTCACATATCCCTATAAAATAGTTTTTTTTTCTTTTGTTTTGGTTTGATATATTATTTGTTTTATATTCCATGTTTTATTAGCCATAATCAGAAAATTCTCATCATCAACAACAACAAAAAAAGACTTGGAAACACATCTGACCATCGCATTACCAAGTGATGGAATTACTGGAATGAATATATTTATATATATTTTTTTAATAATTAGCTGGGCTGCATTTACAAATGACAAATTAATATTGTTTTCTTGTTTTGTTTGTTCTATAAACAACCTCACACATGCAAAAAAAAAAAAAAAAACTCCACTGGATGCTGGTTAAATTGCTGGCTTGATTTTTGTGCCTTCACACGTTTAAGTTCACGTTGGTCCTGACAACACATCAGCTTATGGCCACCAGAGGGACGTTTCTGCCTGACCTGGTCGACTGGAATGAATTGCTCCTTTGGAACTCCACTAAATATGATCTACCAATATGAAAAGACAGAAAACCTCTAAATTAGAGATTATAATCTGCTCATCATAATTCAGAATCATGCTGTAAGATCAGTCTGAGAGCAGCACAAAGATTTCAGACAGTGACAAACAATTCAATTGATTTACACTTAAGATAACAGCATTGTTATTACAGTTTTTGTACACAGTTCATGAACATGCTGAACTTCTAACAAAAGCTGACAACATGGCTAAATAATATGAATACAAAACATCTGCATGGACGGAAAATGAATAGGAAGGAAGTGGAGGAGCACTGTTGAACCTCGTCATCACCCAAACATCTTTGTCTACATGAAAATGTTTGGATTTAAGGTCAAAGAAATGTTTTTTTGTTTTTTTTTCCCCAATCTGTATCACAGTAAGTCTGGATTGCTGAAATATGAATGCAATTCTTTAAATGTCTGTTTTAATTTAATTTAGTTAAATTAAAAACTTGAGTGAAATGAACTCAAACTGGAACGTGAAAGAAACACAGCATGTTTTCCAGGACTTCTGATTGGACCATGCTGCTTTCTGATTTCTTCCATTCCCACCAATGTCTATATTTCTTGGCAAAGAGACATCAATACTCACATATCACTGTATTTTTAATCCTCCCAAAAATTTCTGTGTCGCGGTTTGTTTGTCTGTGCTTAACTTTAAAAAAAAAAAGAAAAACTGAACGATAATTGTACTAAAGAAATTTGAGGTGAAATGATTTGGACTACGTTGTCTGTGCCGCTGGTCAAGAGGGGACTTCTGCAGCGAAGCAGACCTTTTGTAGAAGTCAGTAGTATGGGAATTAGCTTGACCATTTGCTATAAATGGGACTCGCTGTTGAAGAAGAATGTGAAGAATCTGAGGGGGGAAAGCTGTCTTCCTGTTCTGCGACATGACAGACCACAGCAAAAATACATGAAGATGTTTGGATTTAACTGCATGGGAACCAGACAGACAGCAGCTCTGGTTTACCTCCACTTCCTGTTGGACTTATGATCATTCAGTCTGACTGCAGTACATCCACATTTAGCAGACAGAACAAACACTACTACAGTTTCTATTCAGTAGATGTTCTTGTAGAACAAGTGGAAAATTAATTTCTCATTTTATATGTATAAAAAAATATGTAATAAAACATTTATCTGGGGGATATTGATGAAGTAGTGACTTCTTTCAGATCAACCAAATCCTGATAGCCGAGCAGCATCCACCATTTTTCTTGATGCCTGAGGAACAGTAACTAATCTGTCTGACTCCCTGGTAACGACACCTTTTTGCATCCTCAGTCTCCATGGTAATTAAAAACTAAACAGATTTTCCTGAAGCAAAAGTGCGTTTCTCAATGGTGCAGCAGGTGGAGTAAGTGCTTCCCCACTTTTTCAACCCCAAAAATCTGCACTTAGAGAAATACGCACAGTTTTTGTTTCCTTCAAACTAGCAAGCAAAAAATAAAACTTAAAAGGAATCGCTGCATTGTGAGTCATATCCTCTTTCACCTTGTGTCCATTCAGTCCACCCTTCCCCTCTCATTCCAGTTGCATTGACCCTTACACATTATTTCTAACTGTAAACTTCTTAATTACCGTATCAAAATGTGGTAGTTTTCATCCCTCATATTAAATCAGGGAGCTCAGAAGTATCATGTCTCAAGATGTGAGGCAAGACTGACTTTAGAGTAAACTCTGCACTCCATCCATCCATCCATCCATTTTCTGTGCACTCTTGTCCATAGTCTTATTTCAGGTGAGAGGAATGGTCAGGGTCACAGTCTGTCGCCGTGCAATACAAAAAGAGACAACCATGCACACACACAGACTCACACCTAGAGAAACAAATTTACCTGACAGTCATGTTTTTGGACTGTGGGAGGAAGCCTGAGTACCCAAAGAGAACCCGTGCATGCACAGGGAGAACATGCAAATTCCATGCAGAAAGACCCTGGGCCAGGAATCAAACCCAGTACCTTCTTGCTGCAAGGCAACAGTGCTACCAGCTGAACTGTAGTACAGTCATGAATTATTAAAAGCCCATATCACATAGAATTTGATCTGCTTATACTTTAATTGCATATTTTTAGGATGCAGGGGGTCACAGTATGGAAGTTTAGATAAGCCTGGCATTTGATAAGTAAGAAAAATAAACCTATTGAGTTACTAAAAATGTTGAATTTTGCACGGTTTTTCTTCCTTCTTGACTTCTGGAAAAAACATTTATGAATGTACTTACATTTACTACATTTACTAAAGCTTGTTAAAAGCCTTAGTTTGGACTTGTGATAAATGTCATCCTCTATCATTTTACACATCAGTGTTTTGGTTGTTACATTTTTGAAATTTTTATGAGGAAAATAACAATAATATGCACAAATTGTATTTTGAAGAATCTGCAAATTTTTAGACTTAATTTAACACTGACAAAAGTTTTAGATTTTGAAACATAGCTAATTTTGACCAGATTGTGGAAGCTGTTTATTTTTACAAATGCAGTTCTTTCTTTCTTTCTATCGTTCAGTTGGCTGTTTCTTGGTCCATAGTTTCTGCTGCTCTCTGTTCTTTGTCTCCATTTACTGGGATGCAAATATTTCTCAGAAAGCTGGAAAGTGCTGCTCTCATCAAAAAACAAATGAAGAGAATAAAAACCCCATGATGGGCCAGGTTCCCCCTCTAGATGTCTGTTTTTATGACCTGTCACTAAGTGTATCCAAATAATTTCACATTAGCAGTTGTCTTATTAGCTTGGAGAATCTTTAATGATAAAAGATTTTCTCACCAGTCATCTTTGGACCTTTGTTTCTTTGTGTCTCCTTTAGTCTGGTGTGCCTCTCCATTCTGCCTTTGTCTCGCTCCAATTAGATTCTCATTCTAAAGGGAACTGCATAATTTCTTGTGTACTGTATCATAGTAAAAAATTGATGTAGCAATTTTTGTTCTTTAATTAACTTAGGTTGTCAGAGAATCCTTTAGAAACAAAACTGTATCATCTGTACCCATTAATTC